CCCAGCACGCTGCTGGCTGAAGTCTGGTGAGCCCCGAGCCCCCCGGGGCTTCCTCCCGCCCCGCCCCGCCAGAGGCCCTGCTGAGCACCCCCCCCCCCGCCCCCACTGCTAACTGCTTTCTGGCCCGCAGCGTGGAGCAGTGCACCTTCATGGACTCCAAGATGAAGCCCCTGTGGGTGATGTACAGCAATGAGGAGGCAGGCAGTGACGGCAGCGTGGGCATCATCTTTAAGAACGGGGACGGTGAGCTGGGCCCCGGGGAGAGTGCCGCGGAGGCCTTGGCCCCCTACGCGTGCTGCGCTGGGTGGGGGGATGGGGAGGGCGGGCTGAGGATGGGGTCCTGGGGCTCTGGGGCCTGGGCCTGGCTGGGAGTGGAGAGCCCACCAGAAGCTCGTGCTTTTCCTTCCGGGGGGCGGCTGCCCAGACCTCCGCCAGGACATGCTGACTCTGCAGATGATCCAGCTCATGGATGTTCTGTGGAAGCAGGAGGGACTGGACCTGAGGTGAGAGGCCCTCCCGTCATCCGCTCGTTCTCGCTGCAGGCCTAGGACCCTGTCCCTTTGGAGGAGTCCTCTGTCAGAGCCAACACTGCCACCCCCGTTGTTCCAAGAAGAGCAGAGACCAGTTTAAAATTAGGGCCAAGGGAGGCGATATGGGGCCACAGAGTGTGAGGGTGGAGGCGGCCAGGCCTGGTCCTCGGCGTCTGTCTCGCTCCACTGCTTCCTTCGCCCCACGCGTCCCTGGCCTCCTGCCCCATCTTGGGAAGCGGTGGCATCTTCTTCCAGGCCACCTGGATTTCTCTCTGAGCAAACATGAGCTCGGCCAAAGTGCCTCCGTTTCTTCTGTGCAGCTTGGGTGCAGGTGCTGACCTCTCCAAGGAGTCTTCCCCCTGAGTTCCGGGCGTCACGGACTCCTGCCAGCGCCTCTCCCCTCCCTTGCAGCGTCTCCTGGGGCTGTTTTGGCTGTCTTGAGCCCCTCTGGGTGGGACGGAGTGTCAGGCCACCCCAGGGACAGCCCGTGACCTCAGCATTTCCTTGCCCCTCCTCCCCCCTGGCTAGGATGACCCCCTATGGCTGCCTCTCCACGGGGGACCGCACAGGCCTCATCGAGGTGGTGCTTCACTCAGACACCATCGCCAACATCCAGCTCAACAAGAGCAACATGGCGGCCACAGCGGCCTTCAACAAGGATGCCCTGCTCAACTGGCTCAAGTCCAAGAACCCTGGGTAGGTTCTGGGCCCGGGGGATGGACGCCCTCTCCTTTCCAAGAGTCAAAGGTTTAGGAGTCAAAGGTGAGGGGTAGGGCCCGTGACAGTCTCCACGGCTTCTTTGCTCAGCCGGGGACCAGGCCTGCCCTGTTGGGGCAGAGTGGGTCTCCATTAGCCCAGGGGTCAGTTACCCGTGTCGCCATGTAGCGACCACTCTCAGCTTAGGGACGTAAAACCACCCCCAGATATTATGGGCTCACAAACCTGCAGCTTGAGCTGGCTGAGCTAAGTGGTTCTCTGGCCTGGAACCACTCATGCAGCTCTTCGCCGCTGGTGGCTTGACCGGCCGGGCGGGCCCCGGTCACGTGTCTCCACGTGGCCTCCCCTCTGCAAGTAGACCGGCCCTGGCTTCCTGAACCGGCCTGGCAACAGGTTAGATTCAAGAGCTGCCAGGTGTCTTAAGGCCGAGACTGTGGGATGAGCCCAACACCGCTTCCTCCCTGTCCCACTGGTCATAAGGCCAGATTGAAGAGGAGGGGACACAGACCCCACCTCTTCGTAGAAGTTGTTGGGAAACGCCCACCGTTTTGAATCCCCCTTCCCACCCACACTCACACAGGGAGGCCTTGGATCGAGCCATCGAGGAGTTTACCCTCTCTTGCGCCGGCTACTGCGTGGCCACTTACGTGCTAGGCATTGGTGATCGGCACAGCGACAACATCATGATCCGCGAGAACGGGCAGGTAGGGCAGAGCCGGCTGCCGGGTGCGCCGCACCCTCCCGGCTTTCTGTCTCTCCCTCCCGGAGCCCCCTTCCCCGACCAGGGCACTCTCCTCTCTGACCGCGTCTGCCTGCCTCTTCTTAGCTGTTCCACATTGATTTTGGCCACTTTCTGGGGAATTTCAAGACCAAGTTTGGAATCAACCGCGAGCGAGTCCCGTTCATCCTCACGTATGACTTTGTGCACGTGATCCAGCAGGGGAAAACGAGTAACAGTGAGAAATTTGAAAGGTGAGGGTGCTCGGGGTCCCGGGCCGGGCTCAGGGTCGGGTCCTGGAGGAGGAAGGGGCGGGGGCCGTCTCCAGGGTGAGAGCAGGGCGGGAATGGCTGGGAGGAGCCAGAGCCCTGCCTGCCACGGCCCTCTGGCCCCGCAGATTCCGGGGTTACTGTGAGCGAGCCTACACCATCCTGCGGCGTCACGGGCTGCTCTTCCTTCACCTCTTCGCCCTGATGCGGGCCGCCGGCCTGCCGGAGCTCAGCTGCTCCAAAGACACCCAGTATCTCAAGGTAAATGCCAGGGTAGGGCCCAGTCGGGCAGACCCGGTAGCCCCCAAGTCCCCGAGGCCCGCCTCCGAGCACCGTGGACCCCACAGGGCACTCCCAGTGGGGGTTCCTCATGCCGCCCGCGACCCAGCCGGGGGTCAGCCTGGGTCCGTGGCAGATGTGCTGGGACCTCCCTGGCCCGCCCTCCCGTCCTCCGCAGGCTGCCGTGGTTCCACTCGAACAAGAGGGCGCGATTAGATACATTCCGTCCTCGTTTAAAACTGCTTTTCCTTCCTGTGTCTTTTCAGTGTGGGAGAAGCTGGGGGGTCGGGAGGGTGGTCGGCCACGAGCCCCTCTGTGGTGCCTGGGTCATGCACAACAACGCTGCCCCCTCCTCCTCCCCCCCTGTGCGGAAGGTGAGGCCACCTGTCCACCCCTGCGACTTTGGGGGCCCGCGGCTTCCTGGCTGGAGTTGGCTTCTTACTTGGAGGGTGGGTCGGGAGACCCATCTCGGTTTGGGATCAGAACAGAGAGCTTTTCCCAGGGGAGATGTTGGTGGCTGTCTCCCGATTCCCTTCCTGCGAGTCTTTCAGGAGGGAATTTACAATATTCGGGGCGGGGTGGGGGTTGCCCCTCGTCGGGTCGAGCTCACTGCTTTGGCGGTTTTACCCCAGGACTCCCTGGCGTTGGGGAAGACAGAGGAGGAGGCTCTAAAGCACTTCCGGGTGAAGTTTAATGAAGCCCTCCGGGAGAGCTGGAAGACCAAAGTGAACTGGCTGGCCCACAACGTGTCCAAAGATAACAGGCAATAACCGCCCGCGAGCCACCCACCCGCGTCGGGAACCGGGCACCAGGCACCCTCAGCCATCCCTTGGGGCCGAAGAGCCTGAACGGCACCCCACGGGCAAGCACCTACACACTGCCTTTTGTTTACACTGGTTATTTATTTATGACTTGAAATGTTTCAGGAGCTAAACAGCCATAAATGGAAATGCATCCTTTGTACAGGGGAGGGGCGCCGTCTTCCCGCGCCCCTGATCCGAGCCTCAGGCTCTGAGGAGACGCTGGGGGTCGGGCACCTCCGAGGCTGCATCTTGCTAAGGACCGTCAGTCACCCCGAGTCTTCCAGCTGGTGAATCAGGACCCAGCAAAGACTGCTCTCTCCCCGCCGCCGGGAAGCCTGCCTTCTTCCCGGGCTCCCGCTGGGCTGCACAGGGCTTGGCGCCTGGCGATCACCCTGCTGACAGGGTGCCCACGACCCCGTTCCCCCCCTCCACCTTTGTGCTCTCCACTGACTGAGCGCTGGGCAGCTCCCAGGGGAAGCCAGGGTTCCCTCTAGATTCAGGGATGCTTGCTTTCCACTTTTAAAGTGACTCTTGGGTACGGGACTCCTCCCATCTCTCTGCTGTAAAGCAATTCTGTTTGCGGGTAAGAAAGAAAACAGCCAAACTACTCACTGAACCTCGATGGCTCAGAATGGCCTCAGCCCCATAAAGTATAATATATGCTGGTCCTCAAGATATTAAAAAGATTGGAGCTTGATTGAGCTCAACCATGGATCAAGGCGAACGCAGGTCAGAGTACTCTGTGCAATTTTCCGTCTCCTGCCTCGTAAGGCAGGTTTTGAGCACGGGAGGACTTGATCTCCAGAACTCTCCCCTTTAACCTGCTGTGGGTGAGCAATCAGGTATCAGAAATGTGAGGTCGGTCTGTGGTGGAATGTTTTCCTCTGACAGTACTTGGCTTGAAGCAGTTCAGGCTTCGCCTTCGGTGGACCTGAAGAGCTCTAGCAATGCCAGGTTCCTGGGCCCCTCCCGGCCGTCTGAGGCCGACTCTGGAGACAGGGCTAGGAATCTGGGCTTCTTGAAGCCCACGGGTGAGCCTGAGGTGTTAGCAGCCGCCTCGGGCCCCACCCAGCTCCACCACTGGTCTCTCAAAGGCCTTGCAAGGCCTGGCAGAGCCAGGAGCAGCTGCCCTCTGTACAGGTGCATGGCTTTAAAAAAAAAAAAAAAAGAACCCAGGTGCCGACCTTCTTTGGTTAGTTAGAGGCACAGTCCGTGAGCAGGGAGTGCCACCCACAGAACACCACTGACCCCACTCCTGTCCCCAACTAAGTGCTGAATTCATTCGCCCCACCTCGACGGTTGGGCAATAGGAAAAGCTGAGCGTATGTCTCTATGTTATGTTATTTATTTAAACGAGTCTATGTGCTTCCTGGCGTTCTGGTTCAGGTACACGGCCTGTGCACCTGCCAAGAAAGAATCTTTTCTGGTTTTTTTTTTTATTATTATTATTATTTTTTTTTGGTCTTTTAACAGTTCTGTATGGGGAAGGTGAGTTCAACACTTAACCCATGGGGGTTGAAGACCAGCACTCTGTGAAGCCTTGGCAGGAGAGGTAAAAGCATACTAAAAGAAAAGCCTTTTTCTGTTGTGTTCTCAGGTCAAAGAAACCACAAAAAAACAAAAAAACAAAGCAAGGGGATGCAGGATTAAAACAAAACCGGGCCCAAAGCTGACACACTGCCACTGGGGTTAGAACCAGCACTTTATTGTAGTGTATACACGTTCTGGCCTCATCAATATACACATCCGGAAAGCGGCTCAGCCTCTATCATTGTCTACACGGGGCAGGTACAGTGACAGTACGCGGAGGACGGCCACACACAACGCAGGACAGCCGCAGTGTCCTCGCGACTAGCAGTCATGATCACAGAACAGGACTCAAAATGATTTTCCCCCAGTTTTAGAAATCTAAAATTTTACATGTAAATTAAAAACAAAGTGCCATAGGGGTTTTAGCTCGGGACGTGACCTCTCCTTTTCCTCCCCCACCAGGCTGAGCAGCAGGGCTCCCCACTCCTGGGGAGGGGGCTTACCTCTGGGGCTGTTGTGGGGGGGAAGCTAGCACTTTGCCTTCCGGCCACAGGGCGTCCTTGCAGTGCGTGTGTCCTCGGACGTCCTGGGTACGGGCCACTCGGGCCGGTTCTGTCTCCAGCCAAGTGGCCAGACGCTTTGCACCGTCCGTACGCACACTCACCAGCAGGGCAACGGACATCTAGTAGGTAGGAACCCAAGGCTGCGCACGAGGAGTCCAGCTTCCTGCGCAAGGAGCTGCCAGTCATCGGAGGAGTGTGTGAAAGAGGCCAGGGACCCCGGCACCCCCAGCCCTCTGCCGGATCAGAAATGGGTAGAATCCGAAAGCAAAGGCCTGGCCGTGTCCAGCCTCCAGAGAGGGGTCCCGACCTGCTGCCCTCCTGCTGAGCTGGGGGGTGGGCGCAAGTCCATTCCCCCTCACTGTCTGGCCCACCCACCGAGGGGGTGCACCCAGCAAGGCCCGAGCAGGGCAGGTCCCTCTCCTCTCGGGGTGGGGGATGAGGCAGGAGCCCGCGGGGTCTCTCCTACGCTGTGTTTCAGGCTTCACTTTGCATGCCAGTCCTGGGTCACGCTAGCACGGAGGACATGAGGAACCGCAATTTATTTACAAAATATTAAAAAGTCAGTTCATCATCTACATATTAACCCCCATCCTGCCATTTTATACATGCACTAGTTTGGAAAAAATAAAACCTTTAAAAAAAAAAAGAAAAGAAAAAACCAGATTACGAGGTGGGAGTGAGCGATTTTAACCCTTTGTCAACGAGTCCGTTCACTGCAGCTTTTCTGGAGGCGCGAGGGGGCGGCGCAGAGCGAGCCGTGGGCGGCGAGCGTCAGCTCCTCACATAACTTAAGGGCGGTCTGGGTGGAGGGCGGGGGGCCTACGCGCCAAGCACGGGCGGGCGGGCGGGCGGGCGGCGACGGGGAGGCTCTGCGGGCCTACGGGCCGGAATGACTTTGTCCACCGCGGACCCTCGGGCCTGGGAGGACACAGGGCGGCGGCGGCTGGGCGGCTCAGTAGCTGAGGGTGGAGTCGTCCCACTCCAGCTGCTGCTGCCTGCTCACGTTCCGCGGGTCCCCGTGCCCGCCCTCCTCGTCCTCGCTGCTCTCGGACTCGGCGCTGGTGATGTCGTCGTCGTCCTCCCCCTCCTCGCTCTCCTCCTCCTCCTCCTCCTCCTCCTCCCCCTCCTCGGCGCCGTGCTGGTCCGCGTACGTCTGACGGAGACACGGTCGGACGGCGGTCAGACGGCGGTGAGCCGAGCCCCGGGGCCCTGCGCGCGGCCCTTCCCCGCCCCCCGCTGCCGGGGGCGGCGGGCCTAGGGACTCCCCGCGTCACAGGCCCCGGCGAGGGAGGGCCGGCCGCGCTGGGAGGCACCTCAGCCCAGACCGAAGGGGAAACGCAGCCCTAGTCGCCGCCCGGGAGGCCTGTCACGCGCGGGGGAGGGCGTCTCTACCCTGACGCGGTGACACGAGCTCTGACACGGCCTCTCTGGGCCCTCGGTCTGCCCACCGGAGGAGCGGGGACGCCTGCACCTCGCCCACCTGTCATGTGGCTCACGTGACATTTAAGCCACGTAAACGTGGATGCGCCGCCGCCATGTGGCTTCTCTGGGGCGCGCGTCGCTCTGGCCCTGGCCTGCAGTGGTTTTCAGTCGCGGGGCCGCCTGTCGGCACCTACCTCCATGGGGTTTACGGTGATGGTCAAGGCAGAGTCGTCCCAATCCATCTCGTTCTCCTTCCCGGCGTCCTGGTCCCGCATGGTTCGCTGGTGAGCGACCCGGATCCGGAACACGCCCAGGATAATCATGAAGACCAGGAAGCTAACGCACACCACTATCACCACCGTGGCGGTGCTGGGGACAACTGCGACCGAGGGCAGACGGGGCGGTGAGGCTGGTGCCCGCCCCCGGGCGTGGCCCCCCCCCCCCCCCCCCCCCCCCGAACACACGGCTGCTCCATCTGACCCCAGAGAACAGGAAGAGATGTAAGGAAAGTCTGAGCACAGGTTTCGAGCCCTGGGCTGGCCACTTTCCGCCCTGCCATGCTTCCATCCCTCGCGGGTGACGCAGAATCACAGAGCCCAGTCAGCTAGGGCTGCTCGGACCAGGGGCTGGGCTCCCAGCAGCACGCGGGAGGGGGTCCCCCCCGACCCCGCCCCAGACCCGTCCCAGACGGCCCTGCTTCTGCCCACAGTCCTACCTGCAAAGGGATGGGGGCTGGCCAGGTTGTGACCCGAGAGGTCGACGAAGGCATGGTGCTCCGGGTAGACAAACTGGGGCTGTGCGGCCATGTGGCTGGCGTGCTCCATGGGGTTGGCCGTGTGGATGACGTTCACCTGCAGCAGAGACACACAGAGAGGCCTGAATGTGGCCCCGGGGCGGAAATGCAGTTCAGAAGCTACCGGGACTAGCGCGGCTCAAAAGGGTCCCCGGACCAGCAGTGCTGAGCGGATGGGAACAGAAAAAATTTAAGGGTCAGCTCTCAGAAACACATCATAACTGCCTGATGCTATCACCCATCCCAGAAATAGAGCGCTGTTCTAATAATTCCCTTTCATTGTATTTCATAAAAGAACCTGTCCACAAAAGAACAGAAAAACCACCACCACCGTCCTTCACTGCGGGTCATTCGAGATGCACCGGCATAGCCCATTTCCCCGCTTTTCTCCAAAACCACAGCCACATGAAAGAACACAAATCATAACCATTTATTTCCTTTCAAATCTGTTAGCCTTTGGCTCAAACAAAACCCTCATCGATTCTTCAGCACTGTGACTTCAGCATTCTGCTGCTGAGGTCACTGTGCAGACATTTGATTGCTGAGAATAACTCTGGGCCCGTTTCTTCAGACCACAGAAGCCCTGAGTGACGAAGGGGCTCCCATCCAGGCCTGTGGAAGACTTCAGAGCAGGGTGAGCACCCTCTGACAACCACGCACTGAGTTGCCACCATCAGGCTTGGCAGACAGCACAGCACCCCTCTCCCTGGGCCAACCCCGTGCCAGGACCCCTCTCCCCTGGGCCAGGCCCACGTGAGGACCCCTCTCCCCGGGGCCAGCCTTGCGCCAGCCCCACGTGAGGACCCCTGTCCCTGAAGCCAGCCCCGCACCGGGATCCCTCCCCCTGGGCCAGCCCCACATGAGGACCCCTCGCCCCTGGGCCAGCCCCACACCGGGACCCTCTCCCTGGGCCAGCCCCTCGCCGAGACCCCTCTACCCGGGGCCAGCCCCCCGCCAGGACCCCTCTCCCCCGGGTCAGCCCCACGTGAGGACCCTTCTCCCTGGGCCAGCAGCCTGCAGAGAATCTTCAGTTCCCTGGGAAGTGCTCTTTCTCAAGCAGTGTCAAATCTTAACAAACAACATTGGCTCTACTTGTGAGGTATTAACCACCCGAGGTATTATTAGCTCCTGACCACCTCCTTCCAAAGGCCCCTCAGACGCCCACAAAAGGGGCACACCAGCTGCACCCCGGCCCACCCAAACCTGTGCAGGTCTAACCTGCAGCAGCCCCCTGGGCTGGGAAAGCTAGTGCGCACCTGGATGTACCCCAACAGTTGTCACACGAATGCTCTAAAAATGGCGTTTGCAAACATCAGGGCCGTAGGTGGGCACCCAATCACCCACCTCCACCTGAAACTCGTTGCTGACGTAGCGGCCATTCAGCTCCGAGCAGACGAGCTTGAACTTCCGGTCGAGCAGAGACCTGGTGTGCCAGTTCCGATAGCGCAGGAGGCGCAGCGCCTCCTCGTAGCTGGCCATGGTGTCCACACCTGTGGGGACAGGGTGAGAAGGCTGCCTGCTGGCTGGGGTCAAAGCCAGGGTCAGGGGAGGCTGGAGTCGGGCCCAGGGGCGGCTGGACCAAGCGGGTACGCGTGTTGGCTTTCCAGTTGTGGGGAGAAGTACGAGTGTGTGGGCACGCCCGTCCCTCTCTCGGGTGCCATCCCGAGCCTGACTTCCACCCCCTCGTAAGGACAGGAAGTAGGGCAATACCTGTACTTCCTGCCAGGAGAAGGCGAGCAGCCCATGCTGAGCCTCCAGGACTCTCCCAGAGCTCAGAGAGGACGGGGCGGGGGGGCAGCAGGGCTGAGGCTCCCGCCCCGCCCCCAGCCTGGCCTTGGCCCGCTCACCTGTGAAGACCATGCCCAGGTCGGAGGCGCTCACTGCAATGCCCTTCTGCTGCAGGCGGGCCGTGTCCACCTCCAGGCTCTCCTGGGCCGGGTTCAGCTCGTCCCCGTCCACTGTGACCTCACAGGTATCCAGGTCATGCACGATCTCCTCGGACACCAGCGACTCTTGGACTGCAAAAACAGACCCAAGCACCCATAGCAGAGGCCGGGGAGCCCAGGCAGGCCGGTCACGCCGGGTGGCCTGCTGGCTGTCCTCGAACTCACAGAGCCCTTTCAAAGACCGATGACAGAGGCACAGGACAGGCCCTTTGAAGAACTGGGGTGCCTCATGTGCCTGGGAGGACTGGCCCCCATGCAGCCAGCGGGAGCAGCATCGTCCCCTGCAATCGGCCCGGATCCTCTCAGCCTGCACAAGGGCAGCTCAGATCCGGACATCCCACTGGAAAAGGAGGAAAGGACTCTGCAGGTGGGCTTCCAAGGAGCACAATGAGCTCTCGACCGTGGGTCAGATTCCAGGAGCAGACCCAAGAGTAACATCGAAACATCCAAATCTCTCAAAATCTCAGGAAAAAAGAATGCAGGAAGTAGGTAGCAGCTGTGGGGTGCCAGCCACCCGGGTTCAAGCCAAGGGGAGGGCCACTAGCCCAGCAGAGCTGTTACCTGTGGGGTCCTCATCTCCTTCCCCTTCAGGCTCCACTTCTCTCGTGATGGTGCTGATGATCCGAAGCTCAGGGAAAAGGAAAACCCCTTCTGGGCTTTCAAATTCAGAAGCCGCTCGAGCGAAATGGTGGACGCCACTGAGGCTGATCTTGGGCTCCTCGGGCTGCAGCACCGTCACGTAACCGTCCACCGGGGGCACGGAGATGCAGGGGGCCTCGTCGAAACACCTGCCGGCAAGCGAGGGAGGTGGCACAGGTCAGGGCTTTGAGAAGCGGTTCTGCAGGCTACACACGCAATGGCCCATGGACTCCCCAGGCCCTGGGGGGGACAGAGGTAGCGGCCGGGCCCAACACCATTCACGGACACCGTCCATGCCCTCCGGTAACAAACAACGGCTGAGGTGTCTTAGAAAACTAAATATACATGTTTTCTTCTCAAGAGTTAAGAATCAGCACGTACTTGACCGTCCATGCCCTCCGGTAACAAACAACGGCTGAGGTGTCTTAGAAACCTAAATATACATGTTTTCTTCTCAAGAGTTAAGAATCAGCACGTACTTGACCGTGCTGGTGATTTTGAGTCTTCGGATCCCCGGTGTGGGGAACTGCCGGGAGTTCAGGTAGGAAACGTGCTGCATGGCCTTATCCAGCTCCCCGATGTCATCTCCCTCCAAGGTCAACGCCAACTGACTGGGGTTCGTATGGATCTGAAATCAGGCCAGAGGGCGAGAAAAAAAGGGTTCAAACTGCCAGAAGTTCAAACACACTCTGGCAGAGAAAGAGGGTCAGCTGGGGATCGGTCTGGACTGGGGACCTGGGGAGGAAACCTCACGGAACTGCAGCGACAAGACCCTCTTGTTCGAGGGAAAACACCGAAGGCGTGAATGCGTCTGTGGCGTAAGAAATAAAAGGGCGCCCGGCGGGCTCAGTCGGCGTAGTGTGTGACTTGACTGCGCGATTGTGAGTCCAAGCCCCATGCTGGGTGCAGAGATTACTTAAAAATGATAAAATCTTAAAAAGAAAGAAAGAAATATATATACATATATATATTTGGTCTCTATCCCCAGTTTCTGGCACAGAGACCCCCACACCCTGGAAATTTCCTGAGTGATAAGAGCACCTTTTGTTACTCATAATAAGCCCCTTCCAAGCACACCAGCACCTGTGTTAACGAGCAGTTTCTGGGCGGCTGAGGCAGTTCAGGATGGAGCTGGCCACCCCAGAGCCCACGTGACTACAGGGCTGGCACGTTCAGCCCCAACCCTGACCTCTGGCCAATGATTTAACCAGCGGTGCATACCTAACAAAAGCTCCGTAAACACCCCTGAAGGACAGGGTTTGGGAGCTTCCCGTGTGTGGGAGGGTGGCGCTCCCGGGGCAGAGGGGAGCTCCTTCCTCCTCCCCACTTCCTTGCCTTCTGCAATGTCTCCATCTGGTTGTTCCTGAGTTGTATTCTTTCTAATAAACCAGCAGTAGTAAGCAAAGTGTTTTCTGCAGTTTTCTGAGTAGTTCAAGCAAATTACTGAAGCCCAAAAGAGTGGGGGATAACGGGAGCGCCTAACTTTGTAGTGAAGCTGGACAGCAGTGTGGGTAACCCAAGGGCCTGGCACCTGCACACAGCATCTGCAGCGGGGGCAGTGTGGTGGCACCGAGCCCTCTTCTGCAGGCTCTGTGCTAACTCCTGGGAGTCAGTGTCAGAAGTGAAGCGACTTGCAGGACACCTGGAGGTGCAGGTGTCTGGAGAGGTGGGGACTGGCTCCTGGGAACCCCCTCCCCCCAAGTTTGGGGTCAGAGGTGTTGTGAGTAAACACATCAGTCCTTTGCCAGCAGCCTGCATGCCGGTGCTCGAGGAGGTCGCGAGGGCCGTTCAAGGCAATGCCAAGGTTACCTCCACGCCTCTGCCGCTGTCTTCGGGGACCTGCAGGTCCAGCCCTTCTTTGCAGGTATAAAGACAGTCGATCACCTTCTTGTCAGCGAGTTTCCCGGAACGGACGGTCAGGCCGGCCAGGTTACCTCGGAAAAACTGGGTCATGTGCAGCTCACCACCTTAGGAACACGGGGGGGACAAAGCAGGCAGTTACGTGCACGGCCCGGGGCCTCCTGCTTTACCTCACAATGCAGCGTTACCGGCGGTGGCAGCTGGATGGAGGGACATGCGGGTTAGTTTGTACCAAATCCTGTTAGCCTTGCAATCTACATGGAAGCGCAATGGAGAAATTAAATCGTTTATGATCATGCACATGGCATGGAGAAAAGAGGTGGTGGGGCTCCCTCACCCGAAGCCCGGAAGCCAAGAGGTCCCATGGGTGTCCCCACGCAACCGGCCACTCCCTGGAAAGGGTGGCCTATGCTGCCCCCAACACCCTGTGCACTGGTGACATTTTCCATTAGCACCAGTCTCCTGGGTCACCGCCTTCTCGATCAGCTGGGTCACACTCTGGGCTGCTTTTTCTGACTGAGCACACTCAGGGACACATGCAAACTTGGGAACGAACCCACACCAACAGGACTAGGAAGATAAGAGGGCCGCTTACTCCCCCAGCCTGCATGTGAGTGGCCTCGCGTGGCTGCTATCTGGCTGAGTCCCATCGGGCCAGCCCCCACGACTAAGGATAACTGGGAACTGATGGTGTTACAAGGAAAATGGAGACCCAGAAAGTGGCCCTTGATGGACTGTAGCCAAGAGCCCAAAGCAGGTGAAACAGAACTTATTCTCGCAATGACAAAGGAGACCAATGTCCACAGCATGTCTCGTTCCTGATAAGGACATTAGACACTATGAGCCATTACCAGGGACTGAGATTTCTAAGAAACATTTGTCTAAAATTTAGTATCGGTCAGGATAGAGAATCTAGTAATGAGTCTCTTCCTGTCTCGTGGTTCAGCCACAGGGGAACCAGGAGGTGGCCTCCCTGATGTGGCCTGTGAGATTTCAGCAGGGAGCCTCATGCAGTGGGATCAGGGTCAAATCTGATTGGGGGGTGGGGAGGAGTCCCATTAGTGCAGTGCATTGATGAGTCATTTGCCCTCACTGCAACTGGGATCAGATTGGGCAAAAAAAGGGTCAATCCTGTGAAGCAGTGGGGGGGAGCATAATGCAAAGCAGCAGCTCAAATGGTTCTGGGACCAAAATGCAACTCGGGCATTTCATGCGAAATGTGGAATGAATTGATGTCTCGTCTTTAAATGAAACACAAGAGTGAACCGTAGGGAAAGATCCAGCAACCTGTAGAGGCCACAGGCACAGACTCGGTTTCATTGTCATTTTCAAATGCTGGATACTCTGTAGAAAAGCAAGACAAAGACAATAGAAAAGGACCAAGAGGTTAGGCTCTTCACACTGGAACTTGAAAATTAGTCTTGAAAAGCTACCGAATATAAAACACAAAGAGAATTCTTGTCTTGGCCCCTTAGGGACACCTCCCCTCCCCCAAGCAAACTTATCCTCCATCACCTTTTCCAACCCCCTGCTCCCTGCCTTTCCGCATTTTTCTTTTATCTTTGCACACCTGCCTTGCCAAAACACAGGCCCAATTTCACAAGAGGAAGAACAAAAGCACGTCCGCTGAACTCCCATCTCTTCGGCCTGTGTTACCGGGTGGGGTATTGCAAAGAGGCCGCTCAGACAGCCGGCAGAGACGTGCCAGATACAAATACAACCAAACCCTGGGCCCACAGCACTTCCCTCCCTGATAGGGAGGACACTTGCAGAAACAAAATGGGACAGCGCCAGTAAGCATCCAAAGCCTGGTATGTGTAGTAAACATATAAAAGCATGTGTTTTTTGAGCTCAAAACAAGTTCACTTTGGTCTAGACTTTAACCCCTAAGTCACAGAGAAATGAAGGCATTTTTACCCACTTTTTCAGAACAAAAAGGGAGAGTCTGGGGTTAAGGAACTTACCCCGAGAAACAGGTAATCAGTCATTGGTGGTGGGCCTGGGGCCTCTAACTACTGATCCCTCTTGGCCCTGGCCCGGTGTTCTGACGGTAACAGCAAGCCAGGGAGGCCCAGGCCCAGTGACTGAGCACAGAATCTCCACTTTCCAGACTGTGTCGTGGGAGCACTCCACAGCCCACGGCACAGGCCCCCACACCTCCTGTGCTGCAGCGGCATGGAGATGCGCTGGGGACAGGCCTGGCATAAGCATCTGCGTTGCCATGATGCTTGCAGATGCCTCCAGGACACCGTTAGGGATGGCGTTTCAGTCGATGGGTGGGAGGCTGCTGCTTACAGCATGGGCCCTCCACCATGAATGTGTAAGGGAAGTGGTTTCCAAATCTAAAGGGAGGAAGGGGATCTTCCCCCCGGGTAACTACATTTTATGAACCATGTGTTTGGTTTGAGAGCTTAGGTGTGTTTTTCTGGCTGAGGATCTTGAGAGGCTGAGGTAGAAAGACATGAAGCTGATGGCCAGTGGGTGACAGACGCTGTGGCCCAAATAGGGCCCGGAGGCAGCCCAGAACAGGAGCTTTACTTTGACCCACACAGCAAAGCTCTTGGGTTTGCATTCATATTTTTATTCTTATTTTAAAAATTCTTATTTTTAAAACAACGTGAATTATTGTTTAATTTGGGAAGCAACTCCGGACTGAAATGTTAAGACTTAGCAACTAAGGGGGCGCCTGGGTGGCTCAGTTGGTTAAGCGGCTGCCTTCGGCTCAGGTCATGATCCCAGGGTCCTGGGATCGAGCCCCGCATCGGGCTCCCTCCTCTGCGGGAAGCCTGCTTCTCCCTCTCCCACTCCCCCTGCTCATGCTCTCTCTCTCAAATAAATAAAATCTAAAAAAAAAAAAAAAAAAAAGACTTAGCAACTAAAACAATTCCCACTTCCCTGTAATCTGTTTCTCGTTCCTTGGCCTCAAGTTCCACTTTCTCATAGATGAACCGTCCCCGAAATTAAATCTAGGAGTCAGCTAAAGAGGTTCACTCTAAAATGCTGTCTTAACCTTTTCAATTTAAAAGGATCTGCAGGAAAATGATGAAATTTGGTAAATTTCTCGCCGACCTCAAGGTACCAGATTACGTGCTTACTTCCACGGATTTCTGAAGGTGAGCTTTCCCTTTGGATACGAATGTCGCTACAAAGCACGGCCTGGCTGTCACCACTACTTCCTAGCATGTCGTGATGCTGCAAATACCACAAAGCCCGTTACCACTTCCAGATTATGGCAGTTATTAAACTTGCTGCCAGAGCTTGTTCTCCATTTGTTAATAAAGCAGCACAGGTATTACCATGTCAAAACATTAGTCTTCTAGTACTTTGATAACTCTCTTTCAATTTAATTGGTTACCTTGGAAATCCTACGTATTTTGTTTCATAGATTAATATAAAATTATCCTGAGAAGGGGTGCCCATCAGATCACAGGCTCTCAATGCACCGGCTTCAGGGGTTCAAATCCTGATGCCAAGATTAACTAGCGGGGTAACCCTGGGCTCTGAGCCTGTTTCTTCGGCTATAAAATGGGGCTAAAAACTGCTCTTTCCCCACGCACTTACTGCTAAGGATTAGTGAGAGAATGCATACAAAGTAACAGGCATGCGGCCTGCCGCTCAGATAGCATGAATAAGTGGTATTGTTGCTTTGGTGGCTGTCATATCCCGTCCCTGGTCCTGCAGCAGAGACGTCCTGGGAGTCCCTTCAAGCACCGCTCCTGCTGGGTTAGCCAGCACTCAACGCTCTGGAAGAGTCCTCTGGGTCAAATATACTTACAGTTCTGTGCCTGATGGTCAGGTGCCGCCTCTCTGTTTTCGTGAACTTTTCAATCAACAGATTACTTTATAAAAACAATCCCTCAATTGCACTCTCCCTCCCAGGTTCCCAGAAGGGGCTGGTTGCTTCAGTCCTATGACACACCGTTAGTGAGCGCCCCAAAGCATGACATCAGCAGTGTCCCCAGGAAGGCCATGCCCAGGAGAAGGGACGAAAGATGAAGGACACGAGGGCGGGGCGAGACACTGAGACGAGCCTGCTCCTGCCGCTGAGGCCGAGGGGCGGGCTTTGCTCCCCAAGACCGGGGAGAGGGCGCCGAGGACCGTTACCTCCCCAAG